CATGAATAAGCAAGCATAAGCTTATTCGAAAGAGTTAGGTACATTCTAACAGAAAACTCAACTCTAAATACCTCAAATGCACATCAAAGAATACTGATAACGCTTCTCAGAAATTCTTCCTAAATATACACGTCAGGTTGTAGTTTTTGCATCTAACTTGAGATCATAGTGGACTTCATCTCGACCGATAAGTCAGCATTCGGGCACTCTTTCTTCTCATATATAATCCACGGACCAGCTTCATAACAGTTCAGAAGTCATTAGATTGTCCAGAGCTGTGGCATAACAATGCGATCTTACTCGAACCGTGTATTTCAGCTCAAACCTGTCATTTCAATTTCTGGTTCAAAATTTCATTCATTGGTTTGAGATTAATCTGACCTGTTTTTTTTTTCTGTTTTAAGTCTAACTTCATCCAGCTGTAAGTACGAGAACTAGATTGTAAAGATGAAGCAGTAAGATAGCAGCCATTGTCTTGGTAGTCATAGCTCTAAATGTCCATAATTTTCTGTTTCAGAGAAAATTTCACTGGTTTCTGTCCGACTGGTTGACAACATTGCTAATGTATTCCTCCGTTTTCACCCACCAGTATCTAAAACTAGAAAAGTTATGTTTGGACATTTGAGCCTCTACATTACAAATCTGCAAATGACATCTGTCTTGTAAAGTCGGTATCCAAGTCCTCTCGATAAATACTTCTTGATAATGTGAAGAGAATTAAAATTAGGGAAATGTTACTGATAAGGAACGATCGTAAACTTCAGATGTAAATATGTGACGTAATATCTTACGACATAAATCATGGATAATTTTGATGCTGGTTATCATCCTCGTCATCGGGTGCTGTTCCAATATTTCAGTCGCTGTCGCACACTGAAATATTGGAATGTTTGTGATTTGCTAAATAAAAGGATTGGATCTCGATCGCGCGGTTATCTGATCGTTTCAGGGATTCATAACAGAAAGAAGAGATCTGGAAGTGGGTTGGAAAATTTGAAATCGTGAGGTCAAAATCAAATTCCAGATTCTTATAGCATCTCATTGAAGGAATGTTCGAAAGCACAAGTTTAGTACAGTATGGGTTCAGTATATGGATGCAAAGCAATGGACCCAGTTCACTTTTTGCCATACATCCAATCTGATCATTGATGCAGCTCCGGAGTTCACCCAGACAGCTCCTCTACAGGATTTCCATGAAGCTTCAAAATTCACGTCCTGAGATGAATTTGAAATCTCTCAACTGAATTTCCCTAAGATCCCAAGTTACTACAAGGTAGACGTATTGAATGTTTCTGAAGCAAGTGAGTTGGCTGGTATACGGGGATATCCTGAGTGTATAACATCATGACCTGCGTTATGTCGATTGGTACACTATAAGAAGCCGTGGCAGAAGTACGGATGTCCTGCCAGCGCGTTGTTTCAAATATTCTTCCAACCATCCAAGTGGACTGGACTTACTGACGTTCAGTAAACTATGGAACAGCCATACAGCAAATCAGCACATGCGTATGGCAGTTAAGCACAGAGTATAGGCACATGTCTGTATGTCTACAGTATTTAAAGCTCCGAATCAGGCCACTTGGGAGCTCACGCACATAAACTAGAAAAAACCGACATATGATGTCCATCGAACTACTCCAGTCTGCACGAAAAGGATTTTCTCCAAACCGAGGTGGGCAGTGCACGCTTAAGAGAGATCTATGATTCTAGTATTTTAGTTCATCCAAGCCAAAGGTGGAACATCCCAGCTACTGGTTGATCAATAGTTCACTTTAAGCTATATTCCAAATAAATATCATACTAACAACCGTCTTCGTTCACCTAAAGATAGCTTCATTTGGAAATGACAACCTTATTCCAAGATATATTCTTGGCCCCCTTCCATTCCAAAATATATCTTACTTGCTGCCTCAAAGTATCTGGAGATATTTATACTGACATCCTCCACTGTCCGTGCAAGATGGTTCTGGAATTGTTCATTTCTGAATTTTAAACAGCTTTACTTGATTCTGGAGGAAACGTCTGCACATGTCAAGTTTAAGGTTCTTACACTCCATCCAAGCTCTCTTTGGTGCGTTACTCTGTCGTGTCCAGAAGGCATAAGCCTTGAACCTGTAAGCAAAAGATTCTCAATTTCAACGTCCAGTCGAATGATCTTCAATTCGAGGGTTATCCCAACTGCCAAATCGAAATCCACGAGCTGAGTGACATAATGTTTCTACTCCACCACTTGATACCCATTCAGAGCTTCCGATCAGAATCTAGACCGCACCTAATCACCTGCTTGTCAAACGAACTGTTCAGTGCCCAATAGGCTATTCCTCCCACAAAGATCTTCAAATCTGGGAGTCCACGTGACAAGAGAATTAAGCCGTCTAGTGGCTAGCCCACTTGCTTCACCTCCAGCATCAAGTTCTCCCATGTTAGCAGTGAATCCCAGCTTGACATGTCCTGGTTCCACTTGCTCTGTTGTAATATATGACTTCCTGGGCTGACATGTCGTAGCTTCGTGCGAAGGTATGCTGACTCTGACTTCCTCTCAAAATCTCTCTACAAGTGTAGGTTGGCAAATCTGGGCTTACATTACAAGCCTACATTACATCTTCAACTGCTTTTAAGTTCTCCGCCAGTGGAGAAAGTCTCATGGCTTGTGTTAGATATTTACGATCCTGTTTACTTGGCTGCCTGACTACACCTCTATCAATGGTGGGAGGACTTTCTTAACGCACTACAGTTCATACGAACAGTTCCATTCTGAGCATACCTGGAGACGTTTTAGATTCCTTGCTCAAGCTGTTGTAAAATGCGTCCTCTGCATGTCACATGGACTCTCTGTCCTACAGATACGGAAACTCGCAATCTCAACCCACGTTTTAAATTTGTTCATTGATCCACTTATTTTCCACATGTTAATGTGCTCTGAATATTATGAAATTTAATCTACTTTTAAGAGCAATCTTGTCTTTGTTTGCGATCAATATCTACCATTCAGAGTTAAGTTGATAATCAGTTGGATTGGAATGTTTGACATTAAGTTCCTGTGTACTGGTAAGCTCAAAGATGCTCGTCCCAAAACGGGCGTTTGAAAGTTTCATCTCTAAAGAGAAAGTCAATACCTTCATATGAGTTGTTGTTATCCACAGTGCGCATGATTGCCATAATCTTATAGCGATCGGTGCGTTGGCCGTAACTATTTTCTTCCTTGTGTTTCTAAGAAGCGCGAAAGTCAATCCATCATGAGTGCAGCAGACCCCTACTTCCCAAGATTCACCTTGTTATATTTGTCAGTCATCGAAGGAAAAACAGAACTTAGGGAGAGAGAAGAAAGAAAAAACCAGGTCGTCAACATATGAGAACGAAAGAAAAGTTACAAGTTTTACATCCTGATCATCAAGAGCCATGAAAAAAATCGGCTGTTGTGGGGAATACTTCGAGTTAAATTTGGAATGTCACTACTGCTAGTCAACCAAACCCCTTCCAACATCTAGGCAACTCATGGCAGAAACACATGATTAGTTCGAATATGAGAAAATGAGAGTCAGAATCAAATCTTCAACTCGGCAAAGTCAACTCGACCTACCTCAAGTGGCTCAACTTGTATAAGATTCTAACATGATACACCAAGTCAACGGTCTGATAAAGGATGGGCATGCAAGATGTAATTCGCATGCCAATTCTCCAAGGAGCACGATAAGGTCGTAGTGGGTAGACTTGAAGTAAGAAGCTGCATGGGTTTGAACAATCCATGCCCCGTAGGCCATTTCTCCTCAAATGACCCTTCAGTTCCGGCTATGAGCTTGACTCATTCATTGCGTTAGGTTCTGAAAAAGAAATTCAACTAACTAATATATATATATATATATATATATCTTCATAACATGGAAATGTTATCATTGAAATGAAGATGAGAGTATACATACTCGTTTAAGGAGTGGTTTCTCCGGTCACTTGATTATTAAATGATTGATTTGTGCTGAAAAACATTATAATTTTTCATTATAAAATAATGATTGTATGTTTTTTACTTCATGTTCCTTCCACATTACTTATGTGAACAGAACTGGATATATAATCAGGAGGAAAGGGCGGAACGCTGTACCGGAATTAGTAAATATATGAAACTCGCCGTCAAAGAGAATGGCAGGACAGTTGCACGCTTACTGTGCGCCTACTCAGTAAGCGAAGTCTGATTGACTGCTGTTGCTTGGAGCACAAGGAACAAGCCTACGACCGCAGTTCACTCAAACTTCGAAAACCGGTGGACGTGAAAGCTTCAGGGAGAAGCGACTGCGTCACGGACTGCCGATAAGGTGGAGGCTGCCGTTGGCACGACGTGGGGACCCGACCTTACCGTAGTGGCCGTACCTTGCTTGCGGACGCTGAGGAAAATCCTACCGAAACTTTGAATCTTTGACCTGGCCAGAGACTTGGGATCTGGCCTCCTCCTTCTGCCCTTCCTACTGCGAGCTCGCCTTCCTTCCTTCGTTCCGGCCTTCACTACCGACGCGGAGGAAAATCCTTACGAGTCTTTGAATCTTTGACCTGAACCGAGTTCCCGGGAACGGCTCGAATCTTCAGCAACGGCCACGGGCTACGTCGAGGGACTGTCACGCAGAGGAGATTCAAAGCGGCCGCTGTGACCGAGGTCCGATTGGCGGATGTCGGCTCCGCTAGGCGACAAAGAGCCTGATGCTCCTCTCGCTCGAACCCTGGGAGCAGCGGGAGAACACATGCCCGGCTCCGGGCCAGAGCTGTAAAGGACACTGCCACAGAGGGCGGTCAAAAATTAACTCCGGTTGTCCCTCTGTCTGTGCGCGCATGAGAAAAGCGAGCGCTGGGCGGGAGGGAGTTCGAACGCGCTGGACTCGCGACTTGGTGACAGTGAGTCTGCGTGGCAAGCGAAAAGCGCCACGACTGCAGCGGATGTGGCAGTCGGGACGCGGATATTCCAGCATTCCGGCGGGGTGCGAGCCACTGGTGCTCCACGTGTGCCACTTGCGCGACCGCCGCTTGGTGTATAAGCAGCCACAACGGACACGCAGTCTTTCCCCCTCGCCTCATCCCGGCGCCCTTTCCCCGACGCCTTTGCTCGCCCGCCACTGGCTGGCGCCGGTCAGATCGTGGTAAATTCTGCGCGTCTTGACCGGCCAGTTCGCCTGGGTCGCCGGGACTAGCGCTTCTCTCAGAAGACCTGTGTCGAGCCCGCCCGCAGCCGGCGGCTCGGACCCCTCCGATGAGATCTTCTGTTCTTCGACGATGAGCGCAGGCGCCGGCCGATGTGGTCGCCGGGCGAGCAGCGAGTTCAGAGGATCCGATTCGGAAGATACGGAAATACAATCTTCTTTTCTGGGACGAAATCCCTTTCGCTGCGGATCAGCTTTTCCTCGGGACATTGAATGCGCTGCTGGATGTAATTTAAACTTTCCGAGGAACTCGTCGGTCGTCTGCTGAGCTATGGTTGCACGAAGTTGAAGGCAGCTCTGGCCTCGCTCCTTCGCCTGGCCTCTCCACATGGCTTTCGAAGCTTCGTCGGGTCCCTCGGTGCGCATACGACAGACGGACCCGAGCAAGCCAGGAGGAAATCCAGTGCTGATTCCTGAACTGGAGGGCATGAACATACAACCTCGTCGATTGACTTCAGGAGCTAACACCTTTCGTGCTGTAAGTCGGCGAGCTCGCCAGTTCTGCTCTGTTCCGTGCAGGCCTTCGAGTCCCACCGCACTCCGCAAAGAGCTCGATCATATAGCCCCTCCTTTCTCTGCGACGATGCAGCGGAGCGATCCGGTCCGATCTGTCACCAACTTGGGATGGTAACGTCGAGCCGCACCGACCCGAGCTGGGCTGGGCTGGGCTGGGCTGGCTACTTCACCCGAGCTGGGGGGAGATCTTTCCCTTCGTCCTTCGGAACTCTTCCTCGAGGAGACGGACAGTGGCATCAGCTGCTCTCACATCCAATTTCGGAGCTGCGAATCGTTGTCATTAACAGTTGGGAGTTCATACAGTGCTATATTTGGTGCTTCTCCGAGCCTATCCAGACCCCGTGCACCATCAATGTGGTGCCAAGCCGGCTGCTACACCACTTCGTTACCGGTATATAACTGCTCATGCAATCCACTTTGCCTCCTTGCCTTTTTACCGACTTCAGCTGCCCAGCATCCTTTTAACATCCCTTTTAGGTCAAGGTTTTGACTAACAGTTGGACTGCTAAATTGTACATTCTTGTCAGCCTTTATGTGGAAAGTGTCAAACACCATTGACATTTCTTTTTGTAAGTCTGTCTCTTGCTCACTCACTATCGAACGTTGTAGAGGTCACATTATGAAGATCGCGTCCACCTCATCATCCTCCTGCTTGTATATAAGAACACAATTCTTTCCATTGTGGTCGATCACTGGTGTCTACGTCACACTTATCATCGAAGGCATGGCCCCTGTGACCATTAAAACTCAATCCAAATAAAAAAGTGTCATTTTGATTCTCAAACGTGAAGACTTTTTACAATTTAAATCATTGAAGGGTTTGGAATATGGAATACATACGGATCATAAAAGATATTCGAATGACATAAGCTAGATAAAAGCAAAGGTAACAGTCTCGTTTCCATCAAAGCATTAGTTCGCAATAAGGGAAGGAAAAACTGGAACATCTCGTGCGAGTTTTTGTTCGGCTCTAAACGCAATGCGGAAAACAATCTCTTCTCTGATGTCATCGCAAAAGCAGTACAGATGAAAATAATATACTCAAATGGCGTATACCATGATAGCAACTGATAAGAGCACATGGCTTGCTAGGCATACTTGATAAGGCTGCCCAGCACAAATTGTAGTTTCCCAGCTATGTCACAAATTTATATTAGAAGATGTTTCTACGTCTATGAAACTCATGTTCATAAAATCCTGTCACTGTCGTCAGTTTTTCCTCATGTGGAAAAAGTCCCTCGTTGACTACCCATCACTTTTGGCATAACAACATCACGATTGTCTTCCAACACAAAATTGACCAAACGGATGATAAGCAGGAGTCGAGTACTCTGAAGCTGCTGACTTCTGTACGTGTGGCACCTTATTCCCGTTGAACTACTCAAATTCACAGATCCAAAGCGAGTAGATTGGAAGGCCAACATGGAGATGAATTGGAAAAGAGGAATACGAGCAGGTCCCTTGCTGACGATCTCAATTCTGCAGGTTTCACATAAACTGGAATAAAATAAGAGTAAAAAGCACAGGCATATGCATGCCCTCGCTGTGCTTTATTCTTAAGGGTGGTCTTTTCAGTAATGACTCCGTCAACAACAAATCTGCTTGCTCCTCTGCTGGACCTCCTGCATCCCTCTGTCGGAGTATGTCCAGAAAACAGAATGCTTTTATCACAACTTGTCATCCAATTGTCCTCCTGCATCTCAAAATTCTGGACTGCTTTCGGATAACAATATGGTGAACGGACCTGAAGGACAGATAAGACAAAGTCGCCTGCGCTTTTTCATTGCTGTCTATCAGTTCAGTGTACTGATGAAAGTACGATAAAGTATGAATGGAGGAAGCAACGAAACTTGCAGTTCATCATGACATCCACCCGTAGGTAACAAACACTTCGACCACGATGTGCTGTTGCTGCATTGCACCTCTTCGCTCGAGGACAGGCTGAAAGTACACCTCTCTCTGCACTCGAAGTGATAGCAGCTTTGCATCTTACATGTGGCTTCCTTCTCAAATTTGTGAGAGGTATGATAGTCTTATTCTATGGCTTAATAATCAGATCATGTGGATACACACCCACTTGCCATAGCAAAAGAATGTGTATACCTCACGTTGTCTACTCTAGTTCGTGCATTAACAATATTTCATAGAGAATATGAGTTTACAGCTGCATATCTATATAATATATATTTAATTATATAGATATCTACATATTATTTATTTATTTCACAACTTGAGGATGTTGTGATTGTATATAATTCACAAGTTGGAATGGTGAGGAGCAATTAAGGGCGTCTATCATAGGGGTACGAAGAGGTGTTTGTTACACTACAATTTGAATCACATTAAGACACGGACCCCAACTTCTTAACGATCATGAGCATTGTATCATGAGATGCGACTTTACCTCATCATTCGTTACTTGGAGATTACAGTAGAGTATCTTTCATTCCCAAGTAAGGTGACAAGGCGGAATCAAAGATCCCCATATCAAACTATGATTTTTGTAATTTTTGTCACAATCATTATAAGATAGCTCGAAGGGTTACTTCACAATCCATGTGACGGAACCTCATGAGTCGTGTATCTTGGAATAAACGAGATTCTTCAGCAATATACACGAGAAAAACTGCGGGACATAACCTGCAACGCAGATCACGATCTAATAGTGGAGCATAATGAGGTTGGCTCACACAAATCACTGTAACTACCATCAGTCGGAAATAGGGATTATATTAAAACATAAAATTAAAAAATCAGGCATCTCCAAATATCCCTACGAGACAAACGTCCCTAACTAGCTTCAGTTGGCGACGTTGAGAAAGAAATAAATCAAATCAGACATCTCGCACACACAAAAACACAGTCCACGATAGATGGAGACAAGCACATGAAGCCGGCCCTTGGTGGCCCGATGAAACGCCCAAAGCAGGTTCCTTCCACAAATCAGTGCCTCCGCATTGTTGTCATACACAGAAACCTCCCTCTGGGGATCAGAAAACCAATCTCCTGCATCAATAAACTCAGTTCGACAAACAGCATCAAGTTCAAGGAACAGGTGAATGCGAATTCGGGATATGCCCAATCTGTCCTCCTCTTTTTGCAGGTGGGCGGCTTCATCGTGTTCTCGATGCCATTGGTTTGACGGCTGCAAAGTACGTGGCTCCGACGGGCTTGTCGTCTTGTCCCAACTTTTTCGATAATAGTAAACTGTTCGTTTGTTGGTACACTAGAGGGCTTCGTTTTGTCGCCGTAATTTTATCTGAGCACATCAGAAACAGCCCCGCCCTTAACTTTATCGTACCGTAATTTTAGGGTTACTGGGAAGGAGATGTTGGATATTTTTTGGAATCTATCCCGTGATTCACTAAAACACTCCGTTACTCTCATCGCGCACAGATTTCTCGTCCCAACTTTCCTTCGCACCCGTGCAGCGCTCGTGGGGTACCACGGCCATTCTTCACTATCATTCAAATGAAAATTCTCTCATTTATGTTGGAAATACTGGATCCTTTTTTCGATGCAATCACAAAACTTTCTGTAACTCTCTGAACTCTCACACATTAACGACTGTGTTCCATCTGATGAAAACTTTGCAAATGATAAAGTTTAGGCGGTAACCCCCGCGCCATAGTTTCATGGATGCTTAATTGCCATAACTCTTCTCTCTTATACATAGATGCACATAGCAACTTCAGTGTTACAGTCACAACTCGATATAAGTATACTCCTTATAAGAATAATATCTTAGATAAAAATATTTTTTGCGCTCCCGTAGAATTTAGGCGGCATAATAAGGATACCTCGGCCGTAAGTATATCCTTAGCGATTCACGGTCCCAATTTCTTGACCTCACCTATTTTTACCTCGACGATGAAGAAATTTCCAGTGACGAAGAGGAAGAGGAGGATGTCTAAGTTATAACTTCGGTGGAAACATTAAGGTGTATGAAGACTGTCAAGCTTTGGGGAAGGGGAACATTCGCAATATACGTGCATTAGATGAGATCGAGTTCGAGATGGATTGTTACAAGACTTCTACATCTTTTTCACATCTAAATAGGCACTCAGTTTAGTCTAATTATCACTCACTCTACCCTTACGCTAACCTCCAGCTGATCCATGTCAGTTTCAATCCGTGGCTAATTGTGCAAGCTTGTTTGTGATTCAGGTACGGTGAGGACCGGCCCAAGTAATTAAGTCCGTTCTCCGGTGGCACCCCATCTTAGGAGTGAAGTTCGGCGAGTCAGTCTGGTTCAAGGCCGGATCGCAGATCTTCTCCGAGGGAGGTGTGGACTACCTCGGCAACTCTGGCCTCGTCCATGAACAGAGCATTCTGGTCATGTGGGCCTGCCAGGTCGTGTTCATGGAAGCCATCGAGTGATACGGAGTGGCGGAGTACCCATGGGAGAAGTGAGCGATCCGATCCATTCCAAGGTCAATTCGATTTCCTGAACTAGGTTAACGACCCGGACACCTTCGCTGAGCTGAAGGTGAAAGAGCCAAAGAACGGAAGTCTAGCGATGTTCTCCATGTTCGGATTCTTCGTTCTTGCTTTTGTCACTGGGCAAGGGTCCGATCGATAACTTGTCCAACCACTTGGTTGACTCGGCTAATTACACCTCACCCTATTACACTAGGGTGAGAGAAAATTAGCCGCTCTCCATCCTTCATATAAGGATACTTCGACATATCCTTATAATCTCACGGTCTCATCGTATCATTATATCAAGTTCTGACTGTAAAACCATATGATACTACATAATTTAGTTAGAGGCAAGAGATGTGTATTGAAAACAGAGGATTTTCTTATAACTTTCATGTTATAAGAAAATGTGAATATTGAAAGTAATAACTACAACTCCATAGAAATAGAAAAACGTAAATTTCATCCATGATCAGTAACAAGAGATAAATCTTCATTCAATTTTTTACTTTTTAATGTAGAATTACATAAAGCATGTAGTTGTTAGAAGTGAATATGTTCAAAATTTCAATTAAAAACCTCATCTTTTATTCTTTCACATATTTTGTGAAGTATATCATCTGATAGAGAAAGGAATGTTGATGCACTTTTGAATAAAGTTATTCCAAAACCTCCTCCAATAAAGCAAAATAAAAATTTCTCATTTCCAATAGTGAATATAAACTTAAGTTTTCTAAAATAATATCATCAAATATATTTTTTTTGGGAGAATACAAGTATGTGTAAATTTCAAAATATAAAGATATTTTGAAATTTACACATACTTGTGAATATTAATGAATATTAAATATTAAATCATGATTATTTAAAATCAATATCCATACACAATTGCTACATCTGAAATGCAAACAACAATATCTATAAAGTGCTCATGTTATTTTCTACCTGTTTGATATGTGAAAATAATACAAAAACCTTGACAATAATAACATAAGTGAATATAAAATAACTAGATTGCAAAAAAAGTGCTTACTTTTGTTAAGTTTATATTTAAAACTCCTTATTTTTTTCACTACTTATTTTGAACTAGTTCTATTTTGATGTACAATGTAACTTCAATTTGGTTCAAAATTTTTTATTTGTGATTTTCTTTATCCTCTAAAAATAATATGAAAATAAAATATTATTTAATTATTTAGAAAAAACATAAATAAATCTTATGGATAAAATAAATAAATGAACTTATATATATATATATATATATATATATATTTTAACAAAAAAGCAATGTCAAGATGATATCGATTCTTCAATCATTATTATAAATTATGAATGGATGGAAAATATGTCAAAATTAGGTCAAAAATTTTATGTTATATTATGTTATTTTATGTTGAATTATGTATTTGATCCAAAATGAACATGAAATTGTTATATTTCAATGAATCTAATTCTACTGAATTTGATTTAAAATTTTTAATCTGCATATTTTATTCTTCGAAGGTTGAAACAGTTTGAATCTAATCATATATTTTTTAATGAAAATTTTATTTAATTATTTTTTTCATTTATTTATATTTCTCAAGATTTTTATTTCTTAAATCTTTCAGATTTATAACGTTCTATGCATAAAATTGGCTTCAATGGATTGAAAATTAATTCAATGAATTTGAATAATATCGTATACAATAATAATCATCATCTTTTCATCCTTTTAGTATAACTTTTGTACCATTTATTTCAATTTATTACATTCTTAATATGAATTGAAAAAAAATTTATTCTGTTCGGATAAAAAATTTATTCATATAAATTCTAGTTAAAATTTTTGAGAAGAAAAATTACTCAAACCTAAAAAGTTGTGCAATATAATGTTAAAGAAACTGAATTTAATTTAAAAAGCTTTATATATTTTTTGAATTGATGAATATATTTTTTTCTTAAAATAAAAAAAATAAGATTATGAAAATTGTCATCTCAATATGTTTTTAGGAAAGTAGTGATGGTCGTGCTTATTTTTTAAGATTTTTTAAGAGATGGATTGGTTTACAGTTGATCTAGTGATATTAATTGATTTGCATTAATATTTGTACTCTAGTTTCTGACCATTATGAGCAAAAACATTGACAATACCTTTTAATGTTATTTATATTTGATAGCAAAATTTACAATTTTTCATCATGAATATCCATCATTTTAAGCATATTTTAGTATACATAAAAGTGTTGGCTTTTATTCGAGATCGGTAGGTGCCTAGTGCACCTGCCACATCAAGAACTGCATTGCACAATATACTCACAGCGTAGGCTCTAAACATGCTCTGATGACTTAGAATTAGACGCACTCTTTGCCACATTCATTCTGGTTTCTATACTCACACAGTAAGCGCCAACGTGGGTCCGTGAACGAAATTGGCAACCGAATGTCAGAGCTTAATCTGGGGGAAGACTGAGGGGGATCCACTTGCGCTGCAGAGGTGGTGGACACGAAAGATAGGGAATGGTCCAGTGGGGAATCCCTACATGCACACAACGTCTACAACGGATCGAATTTCCACCCGTTGTTGAGAACACAGTCTCAGTAGAAGAAATCAAATAGCACAAACCACGTGGTCGAATCAGATCCCTGGTCAGACCTCAATCCCTCACTTCAAGGGATGCCAAATCAGATTCTGTTTGCTGGCTGTCAGAAATTAGGCACATTACATAATTGCATAATATATTGAACATCATCTGCTGCGTATTCCGGTTTGAGGTTGACCTAGTCAGGCCAGTTGAGATACCCAACAGAAAAGCTTTGGCAGAATCAGCCGTAATATGTCTGTACGTTTGGATATCTAGTCACACAATAATTTGTAGGCATCTCGTCGGGGAGTATGTAGTTCCAATGGAGTTTAATTGAAGTTAGGTTGCCCTATGGTCGGTTTGTGCACTGACAACGGGAAGAGAAGGTAGATCACTCATTGCGTGAATGTATGACTTATGTTCTACCCGTACATGAGAGGTTTTCTTCAGAAACCGTCAGTGATATAAACCATTTCGGGCGAAAAAAATTCCCAACGAAGGTTACATGAAGCACATGGGCAGTTTTTCCAACCACACCAACTTCTTATTGCCATCAGATACTCGTGCTCTACCATGTAAACGACCACCTAAACGAGGATGATGATTTGTGAGTAAGTCGATAATGATAAGGGTTGGGTTGATCTAAATAATTTAAAATCATAGATATAATATATACTTGATGGGCCTATTATATAGGCCCATCAAGTAACACATATATGAAAAGTTGAAAATCCCTGGAAAGATGATCACAATGAACTGTGGGGAGTGTCCGCCACTGTCGGGCCAGAGTAATTTGGCGACTAGTCCGCAGCCATGTCTAAGAAAACGACGGGCACTATGAGTCTGAATTGCCGTGACTTCATGTTCGACTCGAAATAACACTAGATAGTATTGGAACATCACTGAAGGTGAGGCTGCAGGGCGGTCCATTGGGTCCCATCAAGTGTTTTAAGTTTACTCGGGGTCCATCAAGTAATTTCTCCCAAATTATAAAAGTGAGATGGTTTATACATTATTAAAAAATATGAAGATAAATCCAATGATGTGATTTCTACCTTATAAGTTGTATGAAATCTATACATCAATGGAGAACATAATTTCTGAAATATAGTCTATGATAAAGTTAAAAACCGTATGGCACTCCAGTTATGTCATGAGAACATGTCAAATCATAAAAAGTATGCATGACACCTACTAATACCCCAATATATATAGAACAACGTTGGCCGAGACCGCTATATCACATGTATAATGTAGTACAGTATCATGATACCTCGCAGACTCCACAACAGAGGATATCGTGATGGACACTTCAGACCGCTGCTGTACTTGTGAATGGGGTTCGAGATTGCCAGGCTGGGTCAATCCGAGGAGGAAAGTAAACCAGCCCGTCAGAAAGGTTCTAAGCAGTACTTTAGGACATTCACCAACTCTCATACTGTATCGGATTTGTAGCCTCCTTCGCAGTACCAAGTTGCACTGCTACAGGTGGTCTTATCGGTCTGGCATAAATGAAAGAGAAGACATGAGAGAGACGGAAGATGTCTGGCCTATGTCGACACCCTTACTTACCAGTTAATGTACATGCGCAAGTGGGGGGAGTATGCCTTGCACATCCACCGAGCCATATGAGAGCCAAGAGGGCAGCTTTAAAGAGAAATTCTACTGTACATGCTACAGACGCGGGTCGGTCGGTCAGTTGTCATCGTACGAAAGTCAGGGAGAAGGAGGGGGGGCGTTGGGATGTTCAGCCATGCATGGGTATGGAACGGTCATCCGGTTGTCAGTCAGCTCTCTTCGCTTCAGGTTCGTCCAACTACGTGGTCGAATGCCAGCGTCCACGTACTCAACCGCCGATGTTGTCCTACGTCCCCTTCTTCTCTTGCTCTTTGCAAGGCATCAGTACTTATGAGATTGCCGCTTCCTTGAAAATCCGATTTGTAGCTCTCTACGATTGTAGCATGTTTTTTTCCATCCGGAAACTGCACTTGTGCATGGGAGGTGTACAGTATCTGAATTTCATGGACTTTTATAACTTCAGTGACAAGGTTGATGAATAGACTTGACCAGACAAGTATCATCGAATTCTAATCGTGTATCTGTCCGACCATTTTTTGCAATCCCACAACTTCAAGTAGGTACTAAAGTTGGACAATGTAAATTCGAAATGTAATTTTTTGGCGTGTGCCAAGTGACTTGGCACGTTCAGCAAGTGGGCGGATCTGATAAATCCTGACAATGCGAGATCAAACCTCCCAGTTTCATTGTAATAAGAATATAAGTTCGAGCATATTTATTCTCCTCTGAACAGATCGAGATGGGGGGAAGTATTCAAAACTATACATCTGTCAATCACTCGGTACGTATTCTCGGTTGACAGCCTCGGCGTGGGGTGGAACAGAAGCAGAGTCTGTCAGTGTTCTCGGGGCATAGTTAGATCTCCCATTATTGTACCAAATGAAATTTATCGCCTTGATTCCTTTTGGTTCTCAAATCAGATCTCAAACTTTCACCTGTCTTTGTAAGAGATACGTGGAAAGGCTAGTCCTTCAGTAGAATGCAAGCTCGACAATTTAAAGTACTTCGGTGATTCAATACCCTCCTATGCATGTAGCAAAGCTCTTTCTTATAAATCTGAAGGTTGGATTCAAGTGAACAAAACGCTTTTGGAGGTGTGCGCGCTCACACCCTCCCTCCATAATCATGAGATGCATATGAGTGAGTCTGGGTATTTACAAGATACGCCGTAGAGATATTTCCAACGCAAAGTATATATAAACGTCATGAAAATATCTTAGTGCGTGTCAAACTTCCGAACGCAGGGACGGGACCTTAAACATCCAATTTTCAACATGCTGCCTCACAGTACTCTCTGAATCATGCACTTTACTCATCTCGCCAGCAGCTCCCGCCAAAGGGAACCAACGTGGAGGAACGAACGATGTGGGACAATGTCGAGCAGAATAGACCTCCTACACAAAAGTCCAGAGGGAGTAGAAACTGGGCGAGCATGGCCCGGGGAGCCATGCGAGGTCAGGTCGACCGAGAGTGACATCCCTAGATTGTGTGCAGTAAATTTCAAAAGAGGGCAGGTGGGGCCGAGGGATCCAGCTTTAATGTAGAATACCAACGAGAACCGACCTCGTCCACTGTGGACTCCAGGGTGATGGAAGCAGGGGATTGTCCGAGGACAAAAGCATTTGAACACGGAGCCAGTGACAGTGACCACCATGGGCCATGGACCACCGTTGCTGCGGGGAGGCAGCCGGAGCTGGACTCTATCCGGAGGGAGCTGCGGTTCTCAGCTACTCTAGACGGATTCAGATTTCGTCTCGCTGATGGAGTGGAGACCATTGCCGTGAGCCTCGTCCTCCTCCTCCTCCGACGCAGAGCTCTACCTTGGCCGTAGCAGGTCCAACCAATTCCCTCTCTGTTACCGAGATAGATTGGCTCGCGAGGTGGGAGTTGCGAGTCTATGGGGTTCTAAGGTGAGACAGGTTCGGGGTGGAGGAGAGGAAGGAGTCTAACCTGCTGAATGACAGGCCCTGAAGCTCTGAGCAACTGATGGATGGGTGGAGAGTCTGGAGAGAGGGATTGAACATGGGCCTGATTGCCTGCCTGCCTGCGGAAAATTGCTCTGCACCACTGGCGGGAGTTGTCCGCCGCTTTGAGGACCACCCCACCTGGACTCGCCTGGCCCTCTCTTGTCGCTGCGAGGGCCTCACTGGTTCATCCGGCTTCGTGCTCTGCAATACAGTCTTTTGGATGATCAGATGGCGAGCTTTACAAGCTTCCTTGAATGACAAAAGTCGTCTCGAGGATGACGCCCGGCGAGACTGCTCCGAGGCCTCCAATCCGTCCGTCTGCGGACAAAACCCAATCTTGCCTTCGGCCGCAGAGCAGACCCCACTCGCGCATGCAAGGGCTGTACACATTCCAAGTCGGGAGAAAAATGTGTTCCCACGCTATCCTTGCGTCGCACTCTTCCTGCTCCTCCTCCTCCTCCCTTGAAATTCGAACATGCATTCGATCCTCGACAGTCAATCGCTGCTTCCTTCTCATCCGTCAAGCAACTCTCACTGATTCATTGACATCAGTCATTTTATTCTCGCAAATCCGATCTGTGGAGACCGCCATGGAAACGACAATGGGCCTCAAGTGCTGTGGCTATGTTCCTGCCGAGTCTCATTTCAAGCCTCCGTCCATTCAAAGCAGATTCCGCATTAAATCCCTCGATTTTCACTTGGACGCCGTTACAGGAACGAACCGCAGTCAACTTATTCTCTCCGACTCATCTCCATTGAAGGAGACAAGCTTCAGTATCCATGACGAGCATTGTTACTCAAATCAAATCCCTGGCGACGGGAGCATTGTAATCTCAAGAATTCCCAAACTCCACTTGCCACAACCTTCGATGATCATATCAACTAGCGTAGGAGTTGATCCTCGCTTGGCTTCGAGGAACGGTGGAATCTAATCAAATCCCTCACTTCATGCAAACATTGCACGATTCGCATTCTCTGGCGCCCGACGCGTTTTCCAGCAATAAGCTCGGCCTCGTGATTCTCTATGAGATGACTGCTTGAGTACCAAAAATTTTAAATTTTTTAAAAATTTTCTATCCATGGTTCCATAGACGTAACAAAATAACACTGGGATTTTCTAGTTCTCCGATGGGTATGCCGGAAATTTTTGTGAAAAGGAAAAATAATAAGCAAAAAAGGCAAAATAATGGAAATATCATCTGATTTCAGCGAGAAAATATTGTGAAAAAACAATTAAATAAAGGGATTAAGGATTTTGGGGTGATCATGATATTGGAGCAGGAAAAATAGGAAGGAGGTATGTGCATCGCTGTTGACGAAAGCGAAAAGGGCCTGAGCTGTGAGACTTTTGCAGGAATAGATTTCTCCGTGTAACCCTCGATCCACTTATAGACAGGAATTAAAGCCAAATCAACAACCTCCGAGAATGGATCGCATGTGGAACAGACGCAGTCCTCACAATGGAAAAGCCCCGCCTCGGCACCTTTGGAGCTCAATGAAAAGCTCGCTCAGTGCAAGTTGCCGGAACTCAGAGGGAGGAGAGAGTCGCTGACGTCAGCGACGCGTCATCGGGTGACGACAGCGGCGACGTCAGCATCGGACCGAGAGAGATACCGACACTTTCCACCTTCGTACAGCCTACCTACACAGCCACATTCTTTCCACTGCAGGAAAGGTCCGAAGGTCAGTAATCATGAGCGGCCCCGCTAATCATCGGCACCGTGGATGTGGTAACTGTCCAATCCAACTGTGATGCGATACACGACACACTCCTCGGACTGTCCCATGCCCACCGCTTGTGGCCTGAAAAGGACTGCGACCTCGGCACCCCGGGCTGTCGCATTTTTCACACATGCCAGATCACCGTCTCACGCACCGGCTACTGGCTGCCTCGATTTCGCTTCTCATGCTTGTGATTCGACGAACGGGTAAACTGCGAAGTAAATTAGCAACGAGGGTGGCAAGACCCCCGAAGCAGGATCACGAATGAAGTGGAACGAGTAACACGAGGCTAGTCCGCAATAGCATCGCTATGAGATTTCAGTCAAGTCATCATCCACTCATGTACTAATGCACTTCGTATCCCATGACGATTGGGGCCACATTATTAGATTATCCATCAGCAGGTTGAGGTCATTGCTTCATTACTACGTATAATGTAAACTATTCATATCTGTAAAGCATTCTAAATATGGTAACAAAATATCGTGTTAAAAACACAACAAGTTACACGCCCATGCTCTTATATTCCAACAAAAAATTCATTCTCTCACAAACATGTTGAAGTTGGAGAAAATAAAATAATATTATTTCAAATATGAAGTCTCTATAATAACATCCAATACAAGGGTTATGATAAAAATTAAGTCATATACATATATATATATATATATATATATTGATGCTTATATTGATATCATGCTATTGGATATGCCCTAGCAACTCGATACTCTCAAATCATTTTCAGATTATCCTAAGCCTGACCAACTTCAATATATGCCAAAATTAAATAGTAAAATGTTATTGGATACTTCAAGGTTAATTCTTCATTGTGGTGAATATATATTTTAAAATTATAATTGCATTGAATATCATAGAGATAAAACACAATCTAAAAATTATGATTTCCGTATTTACCCAAGAGAAGTAATGCTTCTGAAAAATAAACTGTCAAATGACAAGATCTTTGAACACATCGGTACGCAAATACGTGATATTATCATGACTTTGGAGTTCTGGATTTATAGAGTTGCAAATATTTGTATTCTTGAAGGTTTTCAAAAAGTGTGTGAAAATCTTCCCTACTATGCAACACGATATTATTCTCTTTATAATATTGATAAAGCTATTTTATCATTTATTGACCTTTAGAGAATTCTGCATGATGCAAAACATACTAAAGTGATGAAATGATCTTTTGATAAGGTGATAATTGAGTGAAACGTTTAGCAATAATAAATTGGTTTCCTTACATTAAATACTAGATATTTCACACTTCGATGCTCTCGGACAATAGACTCGTTTTGAACTTAATTACTTAATTAAAAGGTTTTTCTATTGCTTCACTTAATTACTTGGGCACCCTTGCAAACGTTGCTACTTGTGTAAACCTGAGGGGGACACCGACAGCGTCATTTCCTTTTTTAATGGTTGCGTCGTCGATGTATCTGATATATATTACAATCGAGGTGAGACAGTACTCGTCAATCATCTTTAGATTTCCCGGATAGTAGGATTTGTTGGAACCTACAGGTACAAGAGAATATTTGTAGATATTGGACGATGGAGTCCACGCCTTCCATTTGGATTCGACCATTGAGGATTGTACGATGTGTACATGAGATATTCGCATGCTTGTAAATATCATCCCTTTGTGACCACAATCTAAACACTTCTTTTCTATAAACCACCTCAAGCACTTAGGATAAAACAATGACACAATGTGTCAATGTTTTGTTTGGTTTGGAAGTATGTAGAAAGTATAAAATATCTAAGTTTACTCAGATGGACTTGAAATAAGGATTACCGAAACCTTTTATTTCTGAATATATATCCGGAGAGTTCAAGAATAGAACATGTTCGGACAAGAGGCTTATTGAGGCTACGTTAGAGAAAAAGCGTATTGGAGTCTTCTAGAGGATTGAAGTATCAAAGAAGCAGAATACTCTAAACTATGGAGAACATGTGTGAGTAATCATATAGAATGAAAACGAGAAAGAACAAGAACCCAGAAACCACAATTTACGTCATGGGTTCCGTGAGTGCTACGCCGTGTGATAAATTCACAACGCTTATTTCACGTGACCACGCTTAAGTTTAGTGTGGGGAATACTCACCTATTGCAGGCCCTGCTCAGACACGTCTTTGTGCTTATGCATATCCACATAAGGATATCCAATCTCCGTATATCACATCTTATCCATCACCGATGAGCTATGGAATCTTACATCTCGTGTTGCTCTAGCAGAACATGACATAGATTTAGCTTGCAGTGTTTGGAATTCAAAAGTAACCCGTTCATTTTAGCTGGAATATATGAATGAGAATTTGCTAAATCAGCTTGATGACGACTGTCAACTTGTGTGTGATGTAGGCAAACTTGATGCTTAGATAAATTGGGAAAGCTTGATCTGGCGATCACCGAATCGGGCATCAACTGACTTGTATTTTAGGACCGAAAAAGTGATCACTATTCGTCCTCCTGGAGGGTAGGAGCGGCACACGTGGGTCTGATATTACTAAGGACACTTCTTCTAACATATGGATGGTTAAAAGGCTTATCAAGTATGTAATTCTCTGCATGGGCAGCGTCTCTCTCCGATTTAAACAAGCAAAAAGTAATCGGGGATTGTATTTCAAGATACACCCACAATATTATGGACGATAATGGGATTTTGCAATACCCATTAAATCCACTCTCCGTTCCAATAAAATCTGTGTCGATATTTCCATGAAATGCCAAGATGATATAACACAACAAAAAACGAGAAAACATTTATTTTACAGAATTAAAATTAAAAATGACAAAAATTTCCGGTATGTAAACCATAAATATTAGTCGGTTCCTTTTTAATTGATTCCGTAATTGATTCTCAAGTTATCCATACGTTGGAGAGATTGCTTGCAAATATGTAAAACAACTCCCTAATGCAAACATTTGACCGAAATTTCTCCACTTGTAAATCAATAAAACACAGAGACATAAGTGAGCTTTAGTCTCAGAGAGACTAACAGAGACTAACCAGTCACACTAAAAAATCACATTATAGCCGGAGTCCCAACCTAAATACCCCTAAACTCCGATTGCTTAAATCATTCAAAATTCTGATGAGTTAGCATAGAAGAAAGAGATGAAATTTAATTATATCTACAAATGCATGTCCTGATTTACACGTGGATATGCTTTCTCTCTTTCTATTTGTCCTTTTCCTCTAAAAAAATGGAGAAAAGACCAAATATAATATTTTTAAGTCAATATTATATGCCATGAAATTTTCGTGAATCAGAGGTTTTCTTGAAGCATGTCTGATAAAAGGGACTCTACTCATTGACATTAACTGCAGCGTGATCTATCATTCGGCTGGACAAAATAAATGTTCAAGAGATTTCTACAATCATTTGCCCTTTGCAAAATAAATCAGATAGAGGAATGTATCATTTATGATTCCCTAGTAAGAATTCATTTTGCAGATGTATTACACCATATCCACTGAACTAGCGAAGTCCAGTCACAATGTTTTCCCCGGTTTTTATGGATATTCCCGCGTTGTATGTGGACCTTGGAAGCTGAGTGAACGTGATAAGAAATCATGGCACATGACTAAAATCAACGTACAAGTTGCGAGATTCCCATCTTTACACTATATGGCATGCCAACAGCATCATGTTCAACTGGCAAAATGGACAATTCTGATTTTTGTACTCTTCTGAAGAGCTCAATCCTTTGTCTCAAGTACTTACTTCCTAGTAAAATAAACGACATTTTCCACCCGGCTGAATATTTCCGCACAACATCTCTGCAGGATGCATGACTACATTAGTTCTAGCGTGCAGAGAGGTACAAATGCAACGTAAAATATAAAATAAACTGCATCCAAGCTGCCTCCGTAGGGTACGAACGAGGATAAGTCAGGTTGATCCCGAATTCCTGCAGATATGGGAGGATTAAAGCGGGAAAAAAAGAGGCCGAATGCAAGTTGGGGAAGTTCCTGTCAACAGTACCTGCCTTACTACTCTGTCGTGATTTTGCATGGCTTAAGTAGGGGATGGAAGAAGCACTAGGAGTAGGTCGGCCAGATGTCCCTCGCTCTGAACCACATGCAAATGCTATTGGGTTATAAATCTTGTTGGTGAGCCTTACCTTGCTCGCATGCACCTCGCAAGTTGCAGTCTCATGTATATAGTCTTTTATTGCCTCGTCGACGCTGGCGCAAGAGTTGCCACATGTCCTGATGATCTCATGAAGCACCCAGAGTTCCATTTCT